TCTGCCCTAATGGACAGGAGGGTGACTGCAAGACACCTGGCGTGATCTACCTGATCACATGCAATCTATGCGAGGAAGAATATATAGGGGAGACTGGGCGACCTCTGTGCGTTAGGGTCAAGGAACATCTGGAGGGTTTAAATCGAGCAAGGGTGAAGACCCCCTTGGGTGCACACCGAGTAGAGTCCCATAAAGATGCTGTATTCGGAATTACAGTTAGTATTCTATCACGAGAACCCCTCATTTCGGCGCGGAAAACACGTGAAGCATTTTTCATCAAGGCTAGGTCTCCAAAAATGAATAGGAAGGACGAATGCCTAGCCGTAGCTAGTGAACTCGCGCCTTTCTCTGACCTCTGTGGGTTTTATATGCCTCTGGTATCACGGCGGGAGGGATAGGGCATATCATCTAAAGCTACCCCAAGTCCCTATGGGTCAGTTTAGCGGCGGTCGTCCATACGACCGGTTGTTGCGGTTGTTGTTGGAGGTGGGTAAAAGTTTTGAGGGTTATCATGCCCATTTGGAAACATTAGGTCTAGAGAACCGGTTTTTGAAGCTTAAGTTTTGAATGAGGAATGGATAGCAATTATCTTTGGGTTTCCAACTCTGAGGAAGGCGATAACGCCGAAACGTAAGTTGATAAGAACTTGTTTACCATCTTGGCATCAGGTTTTAATAAAATCTTATAAAATTATTGCAAAACTATGCCAAGATTTATTGAGAGTCGAACATGGATAGTTTGCTTACTGTAGTCAGCTATTCGCAGCAAGACCCATACATGTGCAATGACACACATTGCACAGCCCGTCCAGACACGCGTTCTTCTTCATTTTTCTGATCTTCTCGTCCAGTCCCCTTTCTAAAGATTTTTTCTAAGCCTTTTATTACTTTCAAAACGCCGAATCACGCACTTTCCTCGCCTTCATCGCCCTTTTTTCACATTATTTCCCATTTCTCGTCATAATCTGGATTACCCAAATTACGGTGAACTGTGCCTTCGAAATAAGCAAGGTTGCATGATTAGTCAGATTAGCCTGTGATGGAAGGAGGATGTAACCTTTGTGATGGAAGGAGGTTGTATTTTATGACTTGTAAACACGGTAGATATTTCATAAAGATTCTATGGTTAGAGCAAACTATCAAACTATCGTCGCACAATGGTCTCTAAGTTCCCGTAGAAGGTAGCGATAATGGCCGATCGTTGGCTTCTTCAATAACGGTTTGCTGGCGGTCTTCTGCGAACACGACTTTCCGAGCTGCACCCTGGTTGGACGGGATACGGTGGCTACATCGGCGCCGATGTCTAATTGGAGGCGGGTGGTATGTCCGTTGATATCCATATCCGGGTACTTTTGGAAATCTCCAGTGCGACCAATGACGCGTTTGTATCAGGTGCGCGGTGACGACTGATTGTGCTGACGTCATGGTGCAGTGTTCGACCCTAAGCGGCACTGACATATGCTGACTTCCAACAGTATTTCTTTCAGTGTTTCTGCTCATAGACCAGATTTATCCTTGAACCACTTCCTCCTTGTCTGAACAGTGCAAGTTCCGTATGATGCTATCTATAAATTGAGCGGCGTCCGCGAAATTCGCTGTGGGACCGTAACCCGCGCTCATGTGCAGAGTTGCAGGTGGCCTAAATTCAAAAGTGAAATGAAAGCCACCAGGATGGGGAAAGGATGAAAGGAAAGGAGAGCAAAACACCCAACACCTTCCTTTGAATGTACAGAAAAGGGAAGGTGTTGGGTGAGGCGCTTCACTCGACTGATTGAGCCAAAGGCAGGTCTGTTATAAGAGCTCCTTTGAAGAAACTATTCATATTAAATTGGGACTTTAGGCATTGCGCCCTAGTTGAGAAATCGTTTGTGCATGTGCGGACAGATTTGTTCCTTTTAGGAGTTACCATTTATAATGAATCTTCCCCTAAAGCAACTAGGGTGTGGGTTGTGCTATCCCGGGAGTCATCATCGAGTGCCTGTCACTGCTTATACCACAACACGACTTTTGCTTTGAAAGTCTTACATCAAACTAACAGAAGTTTTCAGAACTTGAATACCTGTTTGTCGCCCTAACCTTACTGATTATTACCTATTATTATAACCTGCAGCTAATACCCAACACCTTCCCTTTTCTGTTCATTCCCCATCCTGATGGCTTTCATTTCGCTTTTAAATTCAGGCCAGCAGCAACTAAGCACATGAGCGCGGGTTACGGTATTGCGGTCCCACAGCGAGTTTCGCAGACGACGCTTAATTCATAGATAGCACCGTTCCGTATCAGCCACGATTTCAAAGATTCTAGAGTCATCTTTGACTGTTTTGCGTGCATGATATACCTCGGCCAGGTGGTGTCATTTTGATGGCATGGTCCTCGACGTTGCCGCCCTAATCGTAGTTGTTGTGTCCTTAGGACAGGCAGCAGTGCGATGTTAGCTAGACATAATCAAGAATTAATGAATATACAAGAAACGGCGTTTGTACACCATTCTGATAGGTGTGTTGGATGAACATGTGTTCAAGGATAAATGTCACAGATCAAATACACAGTACCGGCCCCATTACATACAGTGAAACACGGTTCAGCGCACTATCTATCGCAGAATAGAAAGAGGAATCTAATCATAAATTGGAGAACTGTTATTTAGGATCGCAATAGTGGGCTCTAAGCTAGCAAATAAATGAAGGAAGTTGAGATGTAGCCTCGACACAAGATTAGTAGCAATGCGCGATGCATTCGTAAGTCTGTTAGGCGGTATGAAAAAATGTCGACTGTCACGTCACGATCAGTAAACGCTTAGGTGACTGATTTTGCACGACAGAGTCCAATCGGATAGGTCAAAAGGAAAAGTGGCCGGCCAGTAAAAACAATACATAATGACGCAAAAGCAATAAAGTCAAACACAAAAAAGGAAAATATGTTAGCAAATGAATTAACTGAAACTGCACTGAATACACCAAGCTGAAAGAAGAAAAGAGACCATGCTCAAAGTGGCAGAGACCTCGTAGGAAGTACTGAAATCATAATAAAACTGCAATAAAGTCAGGGATAAAAACCGAGAGTTCAGAGATGCTTGCCATGTGAATCAGCCACTGATGTTAACATTTTGAACGAGATCCATCTCCCTGGTAACGTTAACTTTTGGGTCTCGCTTTCGGTGAAGTTTCACCGCTCGGAAATGTTCTTGAAAAAGTTCCCCTCTACTCCGCCTACATCGTCAATTCCTTAGCTGTAGCGATCACTGATTTGCCCAAAAAAACAGCAAGGCTTTAACGAGCTTGGCAAACCGATGAAAAGCTTGGAGCTTCTCATCACTTTCCTGTTAGTATCTTGAAACGAAACATTGAACAAGTCAGAGAGTTATTTCATTTGCTCCTAGTATCCAGTTCGGCTTTTGATGACGTGATAATAGAAGTGTAAGAGAGCAATTTAATATGAACAGGCCTTTTTCACCTTCGCATCTCTCGATTCTGCTTCAAGTGAAGCACACTAACACGTTCTGCGTCGCAAACAACACAGGTTAGAATCAAAACAACCAATATGCCTACCAGCACTTCAGATTATACCAGGGAATCTGTGCGCAACTCACTTCAACTACTATAGTGATCAAGACTGACAAGCTGCAGCACCATACGAATGAGATACAGAAGGTCGTCTTTCGCTTTCCACCTCCTTCAACAAGATTGGACAGTCACACTGCTCCTTCGTGGGTGAGTCGTATCATACAGATAAAAGAAGGAAAAGCCAATGCTTATGAACTTATCAAGCGAATAGTCGAATCGTGCACACATTTTGGCACATAAATGCTTACCAAACGTTTACTTGAAAGCATGAGAACTTTGCAACAGTTTGAAATAGAAATTGAAAAGAAGAATTCACGAATAGTCAGCACAACGAGGTGATAGCAATAGCACAAGAGTTGTTCAAACATCTCCGCAAAATGCAAAGCATTTACCTGTGAATGCGTTACTCAAACGTTCTTTACTTTTACATAAAGCTTTCTCCATTTCTTGAAATTGAACCAAATCGTCAAGAACTCGTTTTTCGATCATCATGTCGTGTTTTATCTGCAATAGCCCGTCTAAAAGCAGTATTAACCAGCGCAAGTTGAAAGAATATTGTTGCCTCCGGAGGTAAAAACCGAATGCAATTTACTGGCTACCTTGAGCAACTTTCAAATCAACGTGACGGGCTAAAGCGACGAGGAGCCGTCCAAGAAACAGCTGTGATCAGAATCTTCCTCTTTCACCTCGGTGGTGGCATCGAAAGTGTTAGGTATAATACCATATGTGGAAAGGCCATATTGATTCAAGTTCCTAAGCTTCATAGATTTTCGAATGCCTCATGAGCTTCTGTCATTACGTTGAATGGCATCGACATTTGAGTCAGTGAAGTTCCGAATGAATTCTTGTTAGGATCCCAGTTTTCATAAGCCGAAACGCGAATCTTTGTTTGTCGCTCATGGCTAGTTTGTGGTTGAGAATTAGAGAGAACACCTTCTTCCCAAAAAGCAACTGCCATTGGCTGCTTTCATAGTCCGCAGGCGGGCGCGCTGGCGCGCAGGCAGTGCTAGGGGGGAGGAGGGAGGCAGACAGTGTAAGGCAAGCAGTCCACGCCCCTTCGAGGGGTTGAAAACAAACAACCTTCGAAGGGGCGTGGACTGTTTGCCTTACACTCTGCCTCCCTCCTCCCCCCCTAGCACTGCCAGCGCGCCTGCCTGCGGACTATGAAAGCAGCCATTGGCACCTCCGTGTAGCGCACACGGAACGCTAGACTGTTCATGCTTGAGTGTAATAGCGAGACTAGTAGTTTTGAATACATTGCATTAAAAAATCGCAAAACGTTGAAAAGAAACAATTCTTAACGAGAGAAGTTTTTGCAGATCAGCATCACATCACTGCAGCATGGATTAACCACTGCAGACTAACCCCATGAACTCCATTCAGTTCCCGAGGATCATCTCATGAAATGATATCATACTGTCTGTTATTTCGTTCATACAACACTACAGATATAGAAAAACAGTCTATTAATTCATCAGAGAACAGTGAATCGAGAAATCGAAATATTTTTCCTTAAATTGTAATACCTTTTCATCGACAATAATCTGCAACGCTTGGCTAATCTTCAGGATGACCCGGTGGAGGCAAGTGGTATGAGACGCCTCCAGATCCGTTGAAATGTCACGTAAATCCACACATAGCGCAAACTCGTCAACCTTTTTCTGGAATCGCTTATCGATCAAGACTTTGTTAAGACCATGATGTTACATATTTACAACCGCTGTGCAGCGAAAAAAGCCACTACTGGTATCCTAGCAAATGGGTGGATTTCTCTCTAAAGTAGCCGTGAGGGGACTTTAAATCGTTGTCTGTACTGACGACCACGTTGTCGTACGCACGCTGCCTCTAAAACCGTAAGAATAAAATTTCTGAATTCAAGTTACTTACCCGACGTTTATCAACGTTTTCTTCTCGGAGACCTGTTTTAACAGTGTTAGATACATGTTTCCGGTATAATGAGATCGCATTGATGACCTTCTGATTGCGATGTTCAAGAGCGCTCACAATCTTTAGATCATCATCTTCTATTTTATTTGAGCTAAACAAAAAGCTACAATAATGCGTAAGGAACTAGATAATAAAATTAATTGAACGACAAACAAAACTCATTTCAGTTAGAAAGCAGCGAACCAGCGAAACATCATAGGATAGTGTCCCGGAATTTGTTACTGCGTCAGTCACAATGATGGTACTCTAAAAGCAAACAAAGTAAACTCACTTGACAAGGTTGTGCCTGATGCGACGGAATTTCTGTCCGACATCTTTTTTCGCTTTTTCCATTATGACTTTCGTCTCGCATCCAAGACTGCAAGAAGTTCGCGCTATAATGAAAAGCATTTAACGGCAGAAATCAAACCCGACAACAAAAACAAAAACTAGAGACGAACACTAATCCCTACAGTGGTGCACAGAAACAAAATTTTTCCACGGCATGTTAGTCTCACCGTAACTAAGTAAAATGCATTGAATACAGAATTTTACAAGTAAGACACTTCCTTTCACGGCGTAACCCTATTCGAATACACAGATCTTCACCAATCCCATTTACGACGCGTCGTAAAGGGAGCACGGGCAAGCGGACCGGTGGTGAGGTAATTACGGG